GAATCCTGTTATTTGTGTGTGTATTTATTTGTGTCCCAGGGCCCCTTCACTTGAAGGATGTTCTTCTGTCCTGGGTCCGACCGCATCCCGAGCAGGCGGGCCCGGCGGCCAGGGCGAGCGGGCGAGCGGGCGGGCGCGCTCCGCCCCGCCCGCCGTGCGGGGCGGCGCGCTCGCGGCCGGGGCCTTGGCCATCGAGGAGCATCCTTGATCACTTCGCGGAAAAAAACCATGCACGAAACCGAAAATCTGGACGCCCGAAATGGGTATTGAAAGACTGGGTACTATGCCCAACAGCGGATCTTGTTCGTTTTGAACAAGATCCGCTGTCCACGCCGCCGCGGCTTGTGTCCATTCGAGACAGGAGGCCGCCCGCCCAACAGCGGCCGCTGTTGGTTTGGGACAACACTGGTTGTTGGGCATAGTGCCCATTCTTTCGGTACCCATTTCGGGCGTCCAAAGAAAAAAGCACAGGAAGTGGACGTCCGAGCGATGGCCAGGGGCCCCCGCGGCGCCCGCGGGGAGGCAGCGACTACGCCGACCAGCGGCACGTGTTCAACACCTTCGGCTCCAAGGTGGCGCGCGCGGCCCCCACGCGCGCCCCGCCTCCCCGCGCGGGCCCCTTGGCTCGGGCGCGGAAGGGGGGGGGGGGACGGTGGGCTTCTCCGAAGGGCTCAGGCGACCCCTCCTCCTTTCTCCTCCTCTCTCCTCCTCCCCTCCTCCCTCCTCATCCTCCTCCTCTTCCTCCTCCTCCTCCTCCTCCTCCTCCTCCTCCTCCTCCTCCTCGGGTCGCCTACGGCCCCGGGGGAAACCGTGCAGGGGGGGACGTCTGGTTCGGCCGTCCTCGTCGGTGCGAGGGGGCCGTTGGCAGGCCGCGGGGTGGCCTCCAGGAGCCGCGCCTCGCCCGGAGCGCGCCCGGGGTCCCCCTGGTCGTCCCGAGGGGCCGCCGGAGGCCCGATTCATGGCCCGAAGGCCAGGCCGGGCGACAGGGGCCCAGACATGATAACGTCGTAAGAAAATCAGGACGGCAGGTTTTTCGCTATTTTCGGCCCCTGGGGGCCCTCGCCGGGCCTCGGGACCGTCAAAATTGAGTCAGGACGAAGAACGGGCCCTGGGGAGAGGGTCTGGACTTCCAGAGACGCCGTCCTGAAAAAATCAGGACGTCGCATGTCTGGGGGGTTATTGGGCAAACGGGGGTACGACGTTTGCTGCATGCTGGTGGTTCCGGCCTTACCGCCCAGCGTCGTTCCTCGACACGTGGCCGCCTCCGGCGCCGGGAGGCGCTGGGCGAGGCAGCTGCACGGAGCCGATGCGCTGCCCCTCCCTTTTCAAGAGCGGAAGGGGGACGTACACGTGCCTGAATCCACGCTGGTTTCGAAAGTGCCCCTGGCGCGAGCGTTCGTATCACGAGGCGGGTCTCGCGGACTGGGGGGCGGTAGTCATGTACGTGGCCGGTCACGTGCGTCCTCTGTGGGCGCCCTACCCTTTGCTGCCCGCCGTTCCGTCCACCTCTCACCTCGAGCTTCGTCGCAGGCGGCGTCTTCCCTCGTCCCCCTTGCCCCCCCCCTCCTCCCCTTCGCCCTCCCCCTCCCCCTCCTCCCCCTCCTCCTCCTCCTCTTCCTCCTCCTGCTCCTCCCCCTCCTTCTCCTCCTCCTCCTCCTCCTCCTCGTCCTCCTCCTCCTCGTTCTCCGTTCTCGTCCTCCTCCTCCTCTCCTCCTCCGGCCCCCCCCCCCAAAGTTGTTCTTCTCCTCCTCCTCCTCCTCCTCCTCCTCTCCTCCTCCTCCTCCCTCCCCAGGCCTCCGATGCCCTGCTCCCTCGTCCCCAATTCCCCCCCCCCCCCCCGTTCCCGGAGCAGGAGGCTCGCCCAGAGGAGAAGGGAGCCTCGGGCGTGCACTCCCCAGGGGGGCTATTCGGGCGCAGCCGCTACTCTGGATTTTTTTTGTTTTTTTTTTGTTTTTGTTTTTTGTTCTGTGTGTTTTCTCTCTCTCTCTCTCTCTCTCTTTTTTTATCAAGGGGGGGGATTAACCTCCCGACGGAGCTTCACCAATCCCGCCCCCTCCGTCCTCCTCCCCCTCCTCCTCCTCCTCTTCCTCCACCCCCCCCTCCACCCGTTTCGACAGCGCGTGCCCAACCCCCCCCAGCGGATCCAAGGGGGGTCGACTGTTGCCCCATCCAGAGGATCGAGGATGGGCGCCCTCTCCAATGCTATACAGTCAGCCCGCATGGTAAGGATGGGCAACCTTCCCAAGGGTACCTTTGCATCCTGGCCCCTTCGGCCCATCCTTGGCGACTTTCGCTGGCCAGCCTTTTTCGACGTTCGACAGACGTTCACACGGGCCTCCAAGGCCCTTGCTCGCTCAGGAGAGAAGGGGAACCTCGGGCGTGCACCCCCAGGGGGCCATTCTCGGCGGCGAGCGAGGGGGGGGAAGAGAGCAGGAGAAGGCCTTCTCGGAAGGCGGCGGGCCTTCTCAGAAGCCCTCGCGCCTTCCGAGAAGTCTTTGTT